CATGCCCCTTGCACATGAGAGGAGCAAGCTGAGCTATTGAAAGAAAAAAGTGAGCACATTTGGGAAAGGGAGGTGGTCAGGAACTCATGACAGCACAAAGAGCTTGGATTTTTTCAATGCCCTGTCCTTTGTTTTTCAGTCACTGAATATATGTCAGAACCTCAACCGCAGGCAGCATGAGCATGTGATTCACCTGATGGAAATTGCCATTATAGCAACAGACCTGGCACTCTACTTCAAGTAAGTCAGTCATGCACACCGTGTGTGAAAGGCAGGAAAGGCCACGTGTGATGCTTTTACAAAAGGCCAAGTGTGATGTTTTGCTCTGAAAGCCCCCACCAGGGCAGCAGTTCTCTTCACAGACACTGGCTCTAGGAGGCTGCCTTTAATACTTAGCTCAGACTTGGTGCGAGAATTCAAATAATTCAAAATTATTTTGAACTTCCACTCAATTTAATAATATGCATTACTTTTTAACCCTCTATTGCCAACAAGGCAGGGCTATGTGAACCCCTGTGGGAAGAAATGTCAGGATTTGGTTTGGTTTGGTTTGGTTTTATTTACCTAGCATTTTAGATCTGAAAATATTCGTAAAAGGCAAGTGGACTGGCCAGGACTATATTAACTTCTCTGTGAGAGCACAATGACACAAGAGACAAGTAGTTCATTGTAGGTGAATGTTCAACTCATAGTCTGTTCCACACACAAGGGCCAAAAAAGCCAAAATCTTGGAGCAGCACCTGCTTTCTGGGACATGAGGCTGAAACTCAATGACATATAACTTCCTAATTAGCAAGGAGCTTTCAAAATATGCCTCCAAAATACTGCGTCAAGACCAGAGACTGCTTCTGTGTTTTGCACTGCAGTATAATTATAAAAACTTTAAACAGTCCAAAAAAGAGGAATTTGAGGGAGGTTGGAATACCCAGAACACTCTGGAGATACAATATCTATATGGCACCATCTATCTATATACCACCACTTCCTCACCAGTTGGGAACAAACTGGTCCTTGCCCTCCTTGGTCCATGAACTGCAAACAAAGGCTTGGCTGAGCTAAGACACAGGATTATTGATGATAGAACACATACACAAGTCACTGTGATATGGCCTAACTCTTCTCTCTGCTAATACTGAAACCTCAGATTTCTCCAGATCTCATGCCACTTCAAACAACGGTGTATCGTGTATAAACCATTCACCAGAATTCCCAATATACATTTAGATTATATAAATAAGATTAAAAATACCTGACTAAGTATATAAAGCCAGGTAGCTTTAAAAATACTCTAGCTAGCTCTAGGTTTCTGCAGTTTGCTTAACATTTAAGGAAAAAATATTTCTTGAACTGCATACAGAGGTGTAAGCATTTCTCAGCTGACATAAGCTGCAGTAGCTTGTGCTTTCAAGGACCTGCTCACATCTCACCACTGTACTAATTCTTGATGCATTTACAATAGTTGGGGAAGCAGATCATGGTGCTTGGTTTTGTTGGAACACCAGTGTCAGGACTGCAACTACTGGAAACCATTCTGGCAGAGTTACCAATACCAAGGTTGTCCAGCTGTTTTTGACATATTTGTTTCCTTGTTTCATAGATTTTTTTCTTTTTTTAACCTTTTTTTTTTTCACCGCCCCCCAAAGGAAGCGAACAATGTTTCAAAAGATCGTTGATGAGTCTAAGACGTACGACAGTGCGACTGCCTGGACTGAGTACCTGTCTCTGGAGACAACAAAAAAAGAGGTTGTCATGTGAGTAATTGGCTCTGGGGAGAGGTTAGTGATGTGCTCACCTTGTGAGAGCTCCAGGATGTGCTTTGTGCTGCAAAGTCAGCAAATGATACATTACTGGCCACAAGATTTGATCTTCAGGGAATCAGGGGAAAAAAAAACTCAGGGTAAAAAAAGTGCTTCTTCATCCAAGTAAGTGTCCTGTTAATCATGTACTCCCAAGGAGAAGCAGGATACCTTCTGGTCATATGCTTCTACCAGATCACCCTGTAGGCCACAAGCAGGGACATCCAATCCATTAGCTGTTGTTCCCAGTGGCAACCAACCTGAGTTGCACAATGATGCTGCTGTGGCCAGAGAGAAACTTTGCAGGATGCCCTGTGCTGGTGATGAAGTGCTCTCCCCACCTCACTGCAGACTGCTCTGCTACACACCTGTGGGGGAGCCAAAGGTGTTACTCCAAAGTCAAGGAGTTCAGCCCAGCAATCAGTAAAGCAGCAAACATCTTAGTACCAGAAGCAAGTATTTCCCCATCATAATTCCATTTTAATCCACAGAGCAGCCTTTAGTCTGTGTCTCAGTTGCAAGTCCCAAGGCTGTTACAGCAACACATCTCTCAATTCAGAAGGGGCCATGGGATACTGACACAGTACTGGGGTATGAGGGTCCTGAGACAGAAAAAATAGGGAAAAAATTTAATTTCTTTCCTGTTTTTAGGGCCATGATGATGACTGCCTGTGACTTGTCAGCTATCACAAAGCCTTGGGAAGTCCAGAGTAAGGTCAGGTGCTTGATATCCTGATGGATTTCTGTAGCTTATACTTCAAAGTTGTAATTGTGAGCTCTATACAAAATTCATGTCTACAAAAAAAACAAAAACAAAAACAAAAACAAAAACAAAAACAAAAACAAAAACACAACAAAAAAACCCAAACAAAACAACAACAACAACAAAAAACCAACAACAACAAAAAAACACTGAACAAAACAAACCCCTCAGTTACATAGATGTTTAGGTCACTGTGAGATTTTTTACATGTAATGTATGCATTGGCTTTATTATAGCAATACCTTCCTGCAGTTTGCTCAGTTGTTTTATTTCCTTTACTGAAACAGTAAAGGGAAAGTTTTCCTGTAAGTACAGTTTTCCTGAACTGTACTTGAGCAATTGCTAAATAATAAATTATCAAATTTAAAGAAGAGTAAAATAAAATCTACCTTCCTGTTCAGCATGAAGCAAGGACAACAGAAAAAAAAAACCAACATAAAATAGACACCCAAAAGGTGACCAGTAGGCAAATTCTCAAGGGGAATAGACTGGAATATTTCTCAATAGATGAGCAGTGGCCAAATAAGATCCAGTGAAATAACAACTGTTGAGCTGTCATTAGACAGCTGAAATCCTACTGCCACAGCTGCCCCTCCCAGGAGAAGTGAGGCTATGGTTGGGCAAAAGAAACAGAAGGATAAGAATTGTGAGATTTGCTTCAGAATGGAGACGTGAAGCGCATCAAGTTATGGGGCTAAAGTTGGTGCTAACTTCTCTTTTTCCCTCTGTGTCAATGTAGGTAGCTCTACTGGTAGCAGCTGAGTTCTGGGAGCAAGGAGATTTGGAAATAAGCGTCCTTCAGCAGCAGCCCATTGTAAGCATCATGCAAGAACCAGGCAGTTCAGTTCAGACAGAAGTCTCAGCAGAGACTACCAGCAGTGCTGCCCTGAGTGCTCTGTGTCTGCCTAAAATCACAGTGCTTGCCAAAATCCTTTAGAAAAATAAGTTCTGAGATAGTGAAGAGCATCCCTGCCTCTTGTCCAGCTGTCCATATAGTTAGATGGGTTCAGTGGCTGTGAACCATCAAGGGGTGATTCACCCTGGAGATTTTGTGCAGGTCCCTTACAGAAAAAAATGAAAAACTAAATAGATAAATCACAGAAGAAAGAGGAGCTTCTAATAAAGAGAAAAACTGCAAACATAGACTTCACAGAGTCAAGAAATTATCGGTAAATGGAAGGGCATTTCTAACATTTTTTTAATAGATAAATTTGACATTGAAAGAGGCAAGAGTAATTCCTTTAAGTGTCCTCCACCTGTGTAGTTTGGAGATTTTTAAAGTAGACTATCATGCACTCCCTCTACCCACAGTGTCACTACAAATTATATAGTAATCAACAAGATCTTGTAAAAATATTATTTTTTCTTCAGTCATGTTTTAGACAATGTAAAACCTCTTCAACAATTTACACCATGAACCTTTCCTAGTAGATGTCTGAGAGGCACAAGGGAAAAACTTCTTCTCCTCCCCACATATGGACACTTGAAATACTGTCTAGAATTTCTGCTAAAATGGCAATGGAAATGAACCCTCTTCACTCCTATGAAGCTGAGGAAGAGGGCTGTGATGGACAGTCTTTAGGACAGCATGACAGAACTGACACAACAAGGAAGTTTTGGGGAGAAAACAGAGGCGTGTTTTTCAATTAAGTGTTCTCACAAATCATGGTGAATTTGTGTCCTCCCACAGCCGATGATGGACCGAAGGAAAGCTGCTGAGCTTCCAAAGCTTCAAGTGGGTTTCATTGACTTTGTGTGTACATTTGTCTATAAGGTAAGCAAAGTGCACCCTTACACACCCCACCCTTATCAACAGGGGTTCCAATCCCAGATGACTGAGTCCTGGTGTAGCAGCACCACTCCTGGGGAGAGGGACAGGTAGACAAATGAAAATCTGCCCTTTTCTGGGGCATTGCAACAAGTTGCCTCTTTCTGCCATTGATGACTTCTGCAAAGCAGAAAGGGTCTGTCCTGGGGTATGATGTACAAGCATTCCCTCTGCACTGCATTGTACTAAGAGGTGTGTTTTGATTAGGAATTTTCCCGCTTCCATGAGGAAATTCAGCCTATGCTTGATGGGCTGCTGAACAACAGAAATGAGTGGAAGACCCGTGCTGATGAGTATGATGCAAAAATTAAAGCTCTGGAGGAAGAGAAGAAAAAAGAGGAAGAGAGAATGGCTGCAAAAAGAGGTCAGAAAAAGTAATTAGCTTTTCTTTCCTAACTGAAAAATGTGCTTATGGACACCCTCACAGATTACAGCAAGGTTTTCTGACACAGCAGAGTAAGATTGGCTCCACTGGCAAGGCTGAAGGCACCTTGCCTTCAAACATTACATCACGATAGGTTGTCCAGAAGGCCACCAATTTAAAATCCCAAACACTATTATCTGAGAAACTAGTGAGAACACGTTCAGCATGAATTGCCATGCAGCTGGGGAAAGCAGAATGTCATGTGCTGTCCCTGGAAAACAGCAGGTAAACAACACTTTGGCTGATCTGCTGTCTCACAGGTCATGAAGCAGAAGCTAAGTTAAAGCAAGGTCCCAAAGTCCTAGGAGAACATTTAAGAAATAATGGTTCATTGCATTTAGGTACTACCTATAAGTATGCAGTAGTGGCAATAACCAGTAGCAATTTATTTTGGTTAAATACTGTTTTCTTCTTCCATGGGCCCAGCCTGGGTAATATTGAAAACCATCAGCAGTAGTGGGTACTGTTTGAAAATTTTTCTGATAGCCTGAGGATTTTGTTGACTCTCAAAAGGGCAGAAGTTTCTCCTGGCCTCTCCTAAATATCTGATCAAATACTTGCCATGACTGTGTGCCTGCACTCCACAGAGACTGTATCTGAACTCTTCTTTTGTTCTAAACTGGACCAAAATTCCAACAGCCCATGGCGTGGACATTGCTCAAATGACACAGTTTAGAAATTATTAGAGCTGTCTAAATGTTTTATCTCAGTTTGATTCACAGTAGTTAACATAAAATATCAAAAGCAAGTGTTTGAACTATGATCTAGAAAATCTCTAAAAAATTATTTACTGAATAAGTAACTGATACTCAAGCAAGGAAAATTTCCACTAATTCTACAATACTCTTTCCAAGCAGCCTTACAAGTACAATTACTTTGCACAGCAGACAGCTTTATATAGGGTGCTATAGGTATGACCTAAGCTGATCATTGGATAAAAGTTCTAAAAAACTCCTGCAATGACTGAGAAGGAAATTTATGACTGTGTGTCTAATTCTATGTTTCTTTTTACATGACAGGTGAAATAACCTGTAATGGAGGAACAGCTCCAGCTTCCAGAACCTGTAGCATACTTTAAACCTATTCTCACTGAAATATATGCCACACAAAATGAGAATACCCACATAAAAACAACAAACAACAATAACAACAAACAAAAACTCAAACAAAAACATACCCTAAACAAACAAACAACTTCCCCCCCAAAACACACAAACAAAAAAACTAAAAAAAAAACTAAAAAAAAAAAAAATTCATAATGGTGTACAAATACATTCCTGATTGGACTCTTCTGATAATTTATTAGGCTTGTGACCAACCAGGGAAGGGCTAGATCTTGTTTGCCTTAATTGCATCTCTTCCTGATGGTAGGGAGCCAGTTCTGTCCTGTCTCCTGTCCTCCATTTAATGCACCTGATGTCAGATGGCACGTGACAAGTCAGAACAACATTTGGCCCAATAAATCAGGTTGCAAGATTATGGAAGAGTATTTTTCCTGCACTGAAACGCTTCTTATCCTGAAGCTGATGGGGATAGTGCTGCTCCTTACAACCTCATGAGACTGACAGTGACTGCAACCATAGCCTGCACAGTGGGAGAAAAAGAAGAAATAAAGTTATCATATCTAAGTCTGTATCTGTCAGGATATCAGAAGGAAACCTGAGGGTAAGGATAAAGCATGAAAACTGACCATAGTAAATCTTTGAACTGCTCTAAAAGATTATGATTCCATTTAAATTCAAGAAACACTCTGACAGATAAGACATCTGCATTCACTTCAAGAATCTGGATAGGTTGCTATCTCAAATGGATAGCTATTAATATATATTCATATATATTCATATATGGAGCTATTAATGCAACACACAGTAGCTGCCTTCTCCAGGAGCAGGATCCACACTGTGTAGTAATTGAAGTTTCATTCTTTAATGCACAATTTAAAAAAGTCAGTGTCATCATTTACCCATTACAGTTCCTCTTACAATTAACCAAGCAACCTGAGTTGCGAGATCTCATAAATTTGTGCTGTTTTGCCTCATAATTCCAGTTATTTAACATAACTGATCAGAACTAACTGTCCTTTCTTTCCTCTTCCTGCTCTGAGATGTCTGGTTTTTAGATCATACTCCTTACTCATGACTCTTATTTCAAATGAAAGTTACTTTTCATGTTTATTCATGTAAAAATAGAACATTCAATTACACTCTTGTAGTAGTAGACACACCCTCATGCCCTATTCCCTCTCTTCCCCCCCTTTCTTTTTTAAAATTGTTTGGAGATCTGTTTTGCTGGGGATTTTCTTCTTCTATTACTCCTGTTACCTTCAGGATTCTTACTCTTCAGTATATTGTTTCACATTACAAAAATATTGTAAGTAAAAGGAAAACTAGAGCTGTGGTGGTACCTGGTGATCATTTACCTGTCTCAGTGTAGTAAGCAAGATGTAATCCTCAATCTATATGCAGCAATTCCATGAGAAGCAATGTGTCTGTCAGGAAAATACAGAAACTTGTCTCACCAGAGCAGAGGACCATTTGGAAAAATGCCACAAGGTTATTGTATGGCACAGTGATAGGCAGTGGGATTTTGATGATCACCACAAGACACCAGATGCTTAAATAGTGCGAAAAGCTCCCTATATTCTCAAATGTTTTCTGGGAAATAAAACCTGGAGGCTGACCTTCTTGCTCCTGTAACCAGCATGAAGCACTCAGAGCACTGCAGGGTGCTCCAGCAGGGCTGCTCACTCGAGGAGCATGGTGTGCCTGCCCATCACAGCCTGTGAGGATGCTGCTAGGAATTTCTAAAGGGATGCAGGGGTGTCCATGGACACTCAGGCGTGGGGTGCCAGAGGAGGAGGCTGTTTCTCAGGGGCGGACCCTTTCCATGGGAGCAGTGAGTGATTCTCACTGAAGGTATTGGTCATTTAGATGCAAGTGAAATTTGCCGTAGTTCCTCCTGCAGTGGTCTCCCTTTACAGTTGGGAGCCGGCTGCTTGGATATGTTAGACATGGAGAAAGAAAAGGGCCAAGAAACAGATTTGTTCACTGTTTTACCAGGTGTGATGGACTGAGCTTGGCTTGGGTGGGTTGGTTGAGCCAGTTTCCATGACAACCTGGGACTGATGTCTTAAGCAAAGTGTTTTCACATCAGATAGGGAAAAAGGCACATCAGAAGCAGATCCTGCAGAGGTAGGGTAATGCTTTTTATCATGCCAATCTCCCTTTGGTGAAGCACAACTGCATCTAGCAATGCAAAACTCTTCCTTCCAGGGCAAATATGGGAGGAAATCTCTAAAGGGGTTCCTCTAGAAAGCAGATTCATGTGGCCCCTCCCCAGATTGGTTTGGGAAAATATTTCCTTGGAGAAAAGTGAAAAAAACCTGTTTATTTCACAGGCAAAGTATTCACCAGCACAGAAAACAAAAAAAATTAAGAATATTAAATAATAAAACCTCTTGCCAATCTGAAGAGATGACAAACTCCAAAAGTCTCTTTGGTGGGCTGCAGCTCAGCTCACCCAGTCTGTTATCAGTCCCTCCAGTGCTGGAAATGCTGCAGACCTGGCCCGACCCAGTGGGTCACAGGTGTGAGCTGCTGGTGCTCTTCTGGGTGTTCAGTCCAGAGCGGGTTTAAACAGTTCTAATAAAAAGAGAAACCACATTCCAAGGAAATTCTCTGCCTCAGCTAGCTAAAAACTAACTAAAAATCAAAGGAGAGCTCTGTCTTGCTGTCTGTGCTGCAGTAAACACAGTCCAGGAGAAGGATGCGGGGGAGCAAGTGCAGTTTCTGATAACAAACTCCACACTTCTTCTCTCCCCAGCTTTGCTCTCGGAACCAGTCTTAAAGGTGTAAAACTTATTTCTGGGCTAAATAGATGAATGGGGGTACAAGCATCATAAACTCATCCCAGGACAGGAGGCATGGGGGTGTTCACACCTAGGCCTGAGGGTGTTCCTTCTTTCTGATAGGGCACAACTAGCAAAACTATGCAGCTGTCAAAAGCAGGGTCAAACAGCAGTTGTGCTATTAGAAGGCAACATAAGCCATCAAAGATCCCTGAAGAGCCACCCTGACTCATTTCCACAGTGTTGTCTCAGATAATATAAAGCCCTCTCCAGGAGAGCTGTCGGGGTGTCCCCAGGTAGGCTTGAACATACAATAACCCATCTAACTCTTTGCTGCATGGGCCTCCACCCCCAACAGATCTAGACTGAGTGACCATCAGAGTGATGACTGTGGAATCAAAATTGAAACTATCAAGTCTTGTCACTGGATCTTTCCACTAGCCACTCTTGTCCTTTTCTTCTGTTTTGTTCTTTTCCTTATGTATTTTCCTTGTGGTGTTTTCACATTTTTTAATGGGAAAGAACCAATACAGCTACATACCTCCTTTCCACTGCAACCAAATTGTTTAAAAATAAACCTGCCTCAGGTATACATACTAGTCATTCAACATTGTTTCGCTCTAATCCGCCCAAGTGATCTATTAACAAGAACACAGTTACCATGCTTCAAAGGCAGGTCAGAACAGCAGGCCTGAAAAAAGATGTAATTTCAACACAGTTCCAGGAAAGGTTGGTTGAGGGCTGTAGAGAATTCAGATCTGCTCACAGCATATTTGCCTATAATCCAGTTAGGTGTTTTCACCTTTGGCTTGATATAGCTCTCAAGTGCAGCAGGAGACCACAGGGGATCTGTTTTGTCAGTGCCTCACTGAAGCAGGTAATGCATACAGACTTCCATTCTTGGTTATGAAAGTGGTGGTTGAGGGGGTGGGAAAATTAATATCCCTGTGAGACTAGCAGGTGAGGTTCTGAGAGAGATGCTCTGTGCTGGAATGTAAATTTCCCATCCATGCAGGAGAAGAGGCTTGCCTGAGTAAGAAACTGGCAAGGGATTTTTAATCCTGCATCCTGGCCATCATCTGCTCTTCCTGATGGACAAGCTGACAAAAGACAGGACCTGTCTGCTACTGAAAAAGAGCATGTGTATGCCCTTCTGCTAGAGCCTAGACTGCTGCGGGGCTGTGAGTGGAGATGCCTGACCTGGAAGAGTCACAGATGGGGGAGCACGTACAAGGCCTCTGCTGCTGGCAGAGCTGTGAAAGAGGCAGTTCTGGCAGAAAGGGAGGGAAAAACTGACAGGGAGATTGGACAATCTAGTTTTCAGCCACCTCTTGTATATCTGAGAGAAATGCTTACTGTCGGCTTTTCTGACGTGGCCACAGGCTGACTTGAACTAAGCCTGGGAAGTGCTCCTCTTCTTCCAGGCAGGAAGAACAGGAACAACTCAACATTCAATCAGTTCTTCAGAGATAGCACTGAACACCAGAGGGAGGGTATGGATCCCAGATCCGCTTTTCAGGCAGATGGATTGCATGTATTGGCGCTCGGTAAAGGGGCTTTGTCCCACTTGCATATCCAGATCCTGTACACGGAAACCTCCATAAATGCTCAGAGAGTACTAGATCCAAGATTTTAGATCCACTCAGTCTAGGCTGAGTGTTGTTTGCATCATCTATCATAAAACTTGCAAGAGGAAGATCTTCTTCCTCTGTGCCTCATCCTCTACTCCTTCCACAAAACTATAGGATTAGAAAAAACATTCATTAGATTCAGTAGAAAACCATTAAACTCCTTTTCACAAAGCAGCAGAGTACTCAGGAGTCACACAAATGTAGTTCCAGCAGAACAGGTGGGTGCAATGTTTTCCAGAATACAGAACAAACATGAGGGGTCTTCCCTCTCAAACCCTTTGAGAGGAAAGAATTCTTTTCATTGCTTCTTTCCTTTTCTTGCATTTTTTTTTTTTCCTTTTTTTTTTTCCCTGGAACCTAGCAAGATTATCATCAATTATCTGGCCAGAATGGGGTGGCAGAGAACTAATTTGGTCCCTGTGGGATTGCTGTAAAGAGATACATGACACCTTTCCCACCCTACTTAGGAATTCTTCCTTATCTAAGAAGTATTACAAGGATAGCTTTCCTTCCTGAAGCCAGTTTTTGATGACTGTATGGAAAGCGTGGCTGATCTCTCCTCCATAATCAGGATACGTAGCAGGTCACTCCTTATGAAAAAGATACACTACAATTCATCTGTAACTTAGTTTTGAGGAACATCTGCCCAACACCTGTAATGTTTAGAACATCTCACTAATGAGTCAGCACCAATTCCTCAGATCACAACATAGCTTGACAAGCCAGAATCAAAACCGACTGATCTTGCCATATGAAAGAAATGAGCAATAATCCACCGTGATAACAAAGCTGAAAGAAAGATGACAGAAACGCAGAATTGTGATCAACAGCTCATAGTCCATGCAGACCAGTGACAGGTGCAGTCCCTCTGGGTCAGTACTGGGGCTAATACTCTTCTGTCAGCAGCACGTACAGCAGGATCAAGGGCACCCTCTGCAAGCTTGGCACCAACATCAAGCTCTGTGGAGCAGCCAACACGCTGGCAGGCAGCAATGCCATGCAGAGGGCCCTGGACAGGCTGGAGGAGTGGTGAATCAAAGGGTTAAGTTAGAAATGTAGTTAGCAAAGAACAAGGAAATTAATCGATACCAGGTGGGGATAACTGAAACAAGGTTGGGAAGGACAGGTGATATATGAAATATTTTAAGAGTGCAGGAGTCATAAATACCACTGACTTCTAAGAATAAGAGGTTTGGACTGTGACCAGCAGGCCAAGAAGCCCTGCCAACTTGACAGATGAAGAGTTCACCTTGAGGAAGACGTCTTACTTCCTCCCCAGAAGATTACCAACCCAATTAAAGAGGACAATTGTGCAGCCATAACAGATACTCAGTAATTATAGTACTAGGTGAGGGCTCATGTTTATGTAATAAGCAACATAGAGACTGTCCTGGAAACTATTTGAAATGTAAAATTTTTTTGGATAGAGAGGAGCTTGTGACTTTTTTACACATGCCTTTGGAAATTATTCCCCATGTGTCCAGCGCGGTAATAAATGCACCCTTTTTTCAACTTTAGTTAGTTGAAGAGTTGTCTGTCTGTTCTTAAGTGGGGGGGTGCAAACCCCATGGAGTTCAACCAGGGAAACTGCAGGGTCTTGTGCCTGGGTTGTGGCAATCCCAGACACAGCTACAGGCTGAGTGGAGACTGACAGCAGCCCTGAGGAGGACTCGGGGGTGATGGCTGATGAAAAATTTAACATGACCCAGCCATGAGCACTCCCAGCCCAGAAAGGCAACGGGATCCTGGGCTGCATCCAGAGCAGCGTGGGCAGCAGGGGAGGGAGGGGATTCTGCCCCTCTGCTCTGCTCTGCTGAGAGCCCACCTGGAATACTGTGAACAGTTCCAGAGCCCCAAACAAATAGGAAATAGGACATGGAACTGTTGGAGCAAGCGCAGAGGAGGCCACGACATTGGTAAGAGGTTGGAGCACCTCCCCCAGACAGGCTGAGAGCCGGGGCTGTCCAGCCTGGAAAAGAGTGTGGAGACCTCCTAGCAACCCTGCAGGATCTGAAGGGTCCTACAGGGAAGCTGTTGCAGTGATAGGACAAGGTGTAACACGTACAAACTGAAAGAAGGGAAATTTATATTGAATATTGGGAAGGAATTCTTTCCAGGGAGGGTGGTGAGACTCTGGAACAGGCTGCCCAGGGAGCTGTGGGTGCCCCAACCCTGGCACTGTTCAAAGCCAGGTTGGACAAGGCCTTGAGCAACCTGATGTAGTGAGAGGTGTCTCTGCCCATGGCAGTGGGGTGGGACTAGATGATCCTGAAGGTCCCTTCCAACCCTTGACATTCTATGACTCTATGAACTCCCCAGTCAAGCCATTTAAGTAACAGATTCAGGCAGTCAGTGACTTGCCAGTCTCCCCCACATGCCAATACATAAAAAATTGTATGTAATTTCTGATCACAATGGGGGTAGCAACTGGTTATTGCTAGGGGAATACAAGGGAGTATTTCAGTTGCAACAATAGCTAGATTGTGACAGTTGCTTCCTGTCACATTCTGTCCCTATTTTTGCTACTGTTCTGTGAAATTCACTCAAAAAATACCAACTGAAGTGTATTAAGTACTTTATTGATAGAGTATCACACAGAGGTGAAAAACCACTGGACAGCTCAGGGCTTAGCCATGTATTTCCATGTGCAAAATTCAGATGAAATCTGTTGTTTATTTCAGTATGGACTCTTCGCTTGCTAAAAGGAAGGAAAACACAAACATGGTTAGAACTATTAGCCACTTCCATGAAGAACTAAAACATGCAAATCATAGTGGAATCAAAGCCTATCTTTATGTAATTTCCTTCTGGCTAATATATATTATTCCCCCTTCTGTTTATGCAACAGAATTGGAATTCACAGCTCTGGGGTGGTGGCAAAACTTTTATATCTACTCAGTAGTAAAAGACAGTTTTCTGAATTGACAAGTCAAATGAGCCCAGAAAAAGCTACCACTACAGGTATGTCCATCTTTAGGGAACAATCTTCAGGAACGGCACTGCACATAATGAGTTTAACAACTGCTTTTCTGAAAATAAACAGACCAAACCCATTGTTGGGAACAACAGACCTGTCACTTTTGTGCCAGTTTTAAACAGATTAAACATTCTAAAGCAATAATAAAAAAAAAATTTCCTTACCAGGTGCCCTAGCAACTTTACAACACAGCCTTCACCTCCAAAAATAAAGTTTCATCTAACTAGAGAACATCTAAAAGATCCATTTAGGCCAGGACCAATAGAGATGATGTATTCAAGAAGGCAAAATACTTTATCTCCAGTAAGTCATAGACAAAACATATTTTAATTTCTCTAAGTGTAGTTTAATTATAGTGTTTTGTTCAACAGTAGTTTTGTTTAGAACAATGCAAATGTCACTCTTTCACTAGGAAAGCATTACTGAGAATGTATCTGCACCAAGAACAGCCTGAGTTATTAATCAATTTTCTTAAAGTTCTTCTTAGTTTTAAGTCTACCTAAAAACCCTGAAATAAAGCTAGAGAGTATACTGCTCTGTATGGCAGTGGGAAAGGAATTCTCTGTTAGACTTGTACAGGGAACACAAGAAATAATCCTAAGGACAAGGGAAACAGTGCTGCAGCAGAAACATTACAGGTGGAAGAGAATGACAACAAAAGCAGCAGTATTAGTTGCAAGTGGTGCCCTTTAGCACACCCTCTATGGCAAAGATACAACAAATGCAGCTCTAACACTGCAAAATACAAAAAGAGCAAGCTGACCTCTTAGAATTAGTGTGTGACGCCACTTAAAAGTCTCAAGTTGCAATTACGTATCATTGCCTATGCCCTATATTCAGTCATATTTGTGACGTTCTGGCACTGCATGGAGCGAAGGGCTCGCACAACCAGATGAAAAAGGGACATGCTGCCAGAGCTGATACACAGATTCAGTATTTTCCTCACAGGATAACCACTATCTTTTAGCAGCTTGTTTCCTCGGTGGAAAGTCATCCATTTAACAAGTCCTGACTGTCGCAAAAGCGTTAAGTGCTGCTGTGGCAAGGTTTTCAAAACGCGGGCATAATTAAACCGCAGTACTGTTTACTCCTCACATGGCCCTACCCCTGCCTCCATGGCCCAGCTGCAGGACGGGGAGGGATGAACACACTAAACGGAGCAACTACCTTCCGCTATCTCCTTTGCAATTCGCTCCAGCTCTTCACGTTTCTTCTTCTCCTCCGCCTCTATCCTCCTCTCTTCTTCAGCAATGGGCTTCAGGTAGTCTGCCACCAACACAAGCCCTTTAAAGCACAGCTCCCGCGGCAGACGAGCACATTTCAGAGCTGGCGGCCTCACGCCGGCCGGGCCGGGCGAAATGGCGGCCGGGACACCTCAAGGTGCCCTTGAGGGCCGGCGCGGGCAGCGGCCCGGCCCCCGCACTCACCGTATCGCTTCTTGCCGTAGATCATCCCCACCAGCAGCGCCGAGTAGCGGGTGAACTGCGGAGGACACCGACAAGGACGCGCCCTCAGCGCAGCGCAGCGGCACGGCCGCGCCCGCCGCACCGCAGCCCCGACCCGCCCGCCGCCCTCCGCCCTCGCCCCGCCGGTTCGGCCCCGGGATCCCCCGCGGCCCTCACCTTGATCAGCGGGGACACCTGCACCGGCGGGATCATCCTGGCGGCAGGCGGAACCGAGCGGCGGCAGGAAGGGCGGGGAGCTGCCGTGACCTGGAAGCCAAATGCTGATCTGCTTCCCGAGCCTCGCCAGCCCGTCCCTCGGGAGATGCGGCGGCGCACGGAGCGGCCGAGGGCGCTGCGCTGTGCAGCCCCCGTCCGGCCGTGATGAATGCACACAGCCCAAAGTGCACGATATCCCTTCCAAACGGAACAAAAGATAACCACCCTTTTATTTTTATTTTTATTTTTATTTTTATTTTTATTTTTATTTTTATTTTTATTTTTATTTTTATTTTTATTTTCTAACTCGTAAGGGTAAAAAACGCCAATTATTTGCTTTTTTAAAATTTTAAAAGTTTAATAATAATAAAATGGTTATAAAAATAGCAATATAATTACAGTAATAAGGTTTAGACCGAATTTAGAGTAATAAAGTTTAGAGGACAATTACAAGATAATAAAAAGCAAAGAATTACGGACATCTGGATGCTCTCGGACGCTACGTCATGAAAAGCATGTTTTGTGAACAAAGGAATCACCTTTAAAATAATACACTTGTTGTTTATTCATATATTATTTATGGTTATGCATATATTCTATTTAAAACAAGAAACTTTGTTGTATGTTAACTGTTTCCTTTAATCCCCATGGCATTGTCAAGTCCGAGTAAGGGTTTATTCATATATTATTTATGGTTATGCATATATTCTATTTAAAACAAGAAACGTTGTTGTATGTTAACTGTTTCCTTTAATCCCCATGGCATTGTCAAGTCCGAGTAAGGCCTGAAGAAATTAGTTTCTTTTGATAAGAAGCCATAAATTCCTCTACTTTGGAAGATTCAGGTGTTTCTTGAAGCGAAAAAAAAAACAGCCTCCCCCCACATACATAGTTTCTACTTTAACATTATATTGAAACCTAAAACTATATTTAATACACTACTTAAGAGAATAGAGCATAACTTTCTAACATTACACATGTAATATTCATTGTAATATTTGCGAAAAGCCAATTGTAACATATGCATTTTTCACAGTAAGGATAATTGGACATTAAAACCTGTTGAGCCCTTTGAAAACAGATACTGGAAACATTTTTTCAGTGTCAGGGTGGTCAGGTATTGGTATAGGTTGGCCAGGGAGTGGTGGAGTCACCATCTCTGGAGGTGTACAAGAGGCATGAGGATCTGGTGCAGGTGATGTGGTTTGGTGGCACTGCTGGGTGAATGGCTGGACTGCATGATCTTAAAGGTCTCTTACAACCTGAACTAATCTGTCATTAAGTGGTTGTGGTCTCTGTGCAGATGCTCGGTCTGACTGGACACAGACCTCTGCAACCAACCCGTCTACCCGACCCTACTTTAAATTGGAGGGTTGGAGTAGATAGTCTTCAGAGGCCCCTTCTAATGACACCTGTGATTCTGGGATTGTAATTATTGTACTTCAATTTTCATAGATACAAAACCCTGTGGTCATTAGTAATTCTATCAATTCTATCAAGAACAATTAGTTACAGTTGAGAATTATATTCCTACTTGAGAATGACACAAATCAAATTAATGAAGTTTGTTTCTCAAGAACTTATAATGATGCTAAATGAATGAGCTGTTTATACAAAGTCTCATATCATGTTTGTCCTCAGGTTTAGGTTCTGAGATACTACCAAATTTGTGTTGAATAATGCTATCTTGATGACAAGCAAAAAAAAAAAAAAGTTTCTTGCTGCAGAACAAATTACTTATTTGTAAGTGGGGTAAGCAAAAAAAACCACAAACAAACCAACCCAGGAAAACTAAACCAACCAACCAACAACACACACACCAAAGCAAAAAAAATAAAAAGCATTTCTGAATTTCTGAGCCAACACAGTGGCTTGTAGTATTTATACATTGCTTTATACAGAGCATCCTTATAAACACCAAAATGAAACTCCTTGGCTAGATTCTGTTTTTGGGTTTCATTCTCTTCAGGTACCATGAAAAGTAGAATCAACATTTCTTTACATCACATTAAAAACATTTTAGTGTTTTGTAAAAAAATCTCAAAACTGCTGAGGTTGGAAGGGGCCTTGGTGATCTTGTAGGAAAAACCCATCTAACATAATTTTAATCATAGACATCAACCATAAAGTTCACCCACAGAGAAGAAATAAATGGCTTGAAGTTTTGTTTCTTCACTGATTGCAATTTATTACAAATACACATATTCACTACTTACTATGTGTCTGCTGCACATTAGAAATAAAACCATACAGAACAAAAGTGCTTTTATTAGTATCAGAAAAACTGCTATACACAACACAATGGAAGTAATTTAACCATAACTAGGTATAAATCCCCTTGTATAGCTGAACATACTCTTCACAAGAAGTATGAAATATTCACAATGACATATTCGGTATCAAGGTGCTTCAAAACAAAAGCACAAGTGCTTTCAAGGCTGATCTCAACTGAAACAAGATTATTTGTTTTTCACGTATAATTTCTTTAGGCATATTTTGCCACGTTTTTTTTTAATGATGAACAACAAAATTCCCCAAATGCCTTTAATTATGGCATTAAAGTTGTCAGGCACTAAGATAATTCAAGATACAAATTAATTGCTCTGCCAAAAGGAAATGTAATGGCTTCTAGGGCAGCCAAAGCTTAGATGATTTGAAAAACACAATACTTATCCAGCTTCATGTAAGTGTAAACAAAAATATTCAACATTATCGTGGACAGGAATATCTAGGGGTTAGTTTACTCTGCTTTCTTCCTGAGACTCAGAAATCTGTGGGATCCCTTAGTTGTCCACAACTCAGGAGAAAGCTCAACTCCCTTACCTGATGTGGAACTCTCACACATTGCAGTCTCATTGCAGTCTTCAAGGAGAGTTCCTTCAATATGATACAGTGCCTTCTAAATAACAGAAGGATGTTCCACTGACAGACAAAAGCCAGACTCAAAAAGCCTGAGAAATTAAAACTTCAGGCAAGAAGCTTCTGCAGAGCAGAAAAACCCTTATGTCTAATCACAGAGCTCTTTTCCCTCAGAAAACATCAGAGCTAGTTGAAACTTGGATGCAAAGCCACATGAATCCTCATTTGTTACATCCTTTTTAAAAAAAGAATAGATATGGCCAAAGAACTTGTGTTCAGATGGCTTGGAAGACTGCTATCACAATTGCAACTCCCACCTAAACTCGCAGTCAAACACAGATTTCCAACTGTTATTCCCTGTTTGTGACTATGCACAACAGACCATTGAAAAAAAAAATTAAAAATTTAACATTGAAAAAACTTAAAATAAAAAAAAAGGAAACCAGTGACTTGTATGAACATATGTTGTACTATGATGTACCACCCAGAAATCCAGATGTTTCCATGCCTCACTTTCTCTTACATAGAGGCTTAACCAACTTCTGTGTTTGGCTGCCATTTTGCTGGGTATCTGTGCACTTCTTAATCCATCGTTGCTGCAATTACATGTCAAGCAGCATTTTTTCCTGTAAGGCAATCCTAAAAGAAGGGGAATATGCTTTTCTTTGCACTCCCTCTTTAACCAGTGTTTTCAATAGCAGATTTTGGAAAAAGGGTCTCAAGCATGGCCAGCTTAAACAAAAATATGCTCCAGTTATGGTCAATACAGGCTTTGGTTTACATCAATATAATCCACACACAAATATAATGCGAGTCAGAGAAGCTGAAATTGATCTCGTAACTTCACATGCATTGTGCGGAAATTTAGGACAGTGTTTCATTTGGAGACAAACATGCCTCCTCTTCTTCTAACAATACAATCTTCCGTCTGGAGAGAGACATCACAGACTTTATGGCAGTTAAAGAAATCCTAACAAAAATGCGCAAGGCAAGGAAAGCAAACGGGATTACGATCTGCATAAGATGGAAAATTGCTGTGCTAAATTCACTTAACAAGCAAGTTAGGAAGAAGGCCCCCAGGCTTACGCAAGGGTACAGAGCCAGCTTGGCAAACATGAAGGCGTGCTCCTTGCCACCATATCTAGCAAAGGCATGCAAAGTTTCCTCTTCATTGAGAAGGGCTGTAGTCCATATTGCAAACTGAAATATGCTGGCAAAGAAAGTGATAACGCAGCTGACCTGAATGGCTTCTATTTCATTATGAGACTTTTCTGCAAATTCACTGGTCAGCTGGTAAGCTAGTGGAAGCCCACCAATGAAAGCCAATGAAAGTATGTTGAGCAGTCCCATTAATCGGGTAGCTTTTGTTACATAAAGGAAAAGAGAGTGATGGACAAACCACAGGAGACCAATTGTAACAAATGAGCCGAAGTAAGCAAGGTAGTTTGGCCCATATTCACTTAAAGCTTCAAGAAGACTGCCATGGAACTTCTCCTCAACTTCTCTGGGATCTGGAACATTGTCTTCACTGTGGAGAGAAAAATTACTTTACTTTGCATATTACTGTTATAAAAACACATTTGAAGCAAGGCTCAATTATGCTGCTTTACTTTGAGAAAGTAGTGAAAATCAGGAATCTACTCTGTACTTCTCTAATTTATTATTTAGAAACAGTGTTCAAATAACAGCTCTGCAAAGAAATTACATATAAAAGGAAATCTTAATGCAGGTTGGCACTCCTTTGGGTTAATAAAATTGCTACACTGACTAAACAGCTTTTACTGATAAAGAGCTTTCATCTGAAAACATAACTAAACAAAAAAGGAAGCTTTGTTCTTCAAGACTCTACACCCCAACACGTATTACACACACTGATGATCATTACTGCTGGAATGTATGTGTTCTTAGAAGTATCTTTGGTTTGTGCTCTGTGTCCTTCCAGAAAATCGTATTTTAAGGTAACCACTGCAGATTTTGGAAGTCAAACACAATGTCTGATTAATTTTATTTCCTCAAATATTACATACAAACAAAATTTCATATATTTAACAAGACGAAGTGTAAGAACCAGTACAAAGTCTTACCATATATCCAAAATGAGCAGGGTTGCTACAATGGCATAGACCCCATCACTGAATGCTTCTACTCGTTCCTTACTCAGAGGCTCACTGAGGTAAAAAGTGAAGGTTTCTAAGCTATGATGTTCTTCCTCTTCACCTCTCTGACCTGGAAACAAATC